TGCGAAGGAGCCACGTGGGGGGGCGGAAGCGGCGCCCGGCCGTTTCTCGCTTCCCGGGGGCGGCCGCGGGTGGGACACGGCCCTTCGCTGGCCACGCGTTGGGGGGGAACGCAGCCGCGGGTGCTGCAGCTCGGCTCGACGGAGAGGCCCGTTGAACACACGGCTAAACGTTTGCTAAGTCATAACTGCGGCAACTTGGCCGGAGAGCGACCGGATGACGCTGCAGACGTGCAACGTGGGAGCGTTCGTGCAGCAGCAGCAGCAGCAGCAGCAGCAGCACATTGCAGGGCCCCGTGCGCGTCTCCGTTGCAAATTGGTTTCCTTTTCAATAACGTGGCGTTGTATTAGGAATTGCTTATCATCGTAACGGTGGTTGGTTTACCACTGATAGCATTTTTTTTTAACCCTGAGAAGTAGGACGCCCACCATCGTACTAAGCCAAGCCTGGAATGAGAAATACAGTACTGTAGCGCATTTGGTCTTTCTTAAGAAGCCCCTTATTGGAGAAGCGGACGCTATTTAATAGTTACAGAAGGAACAGTTGCAAGGAGAAGCTCCTCAAATAATCGCTATTTAAACTTCACGTTTTCTCGTTTTTTTCCCAACACAAAGAGCAAAAAAAAATAACTTCACCCTCGAAAGAGCACAGCAACGGCGTTTGGCCGTCTCTGCTGCACAGCCTTTACCGCGCCTGCGCAGTGCTCTCTCTAGCGGTCTTTTGACCTCCTCGCAGTGACTTCTCGTCGTCTTGTCTGGGGACCTTCTCTCTCCCGTCCTGCACCACAACCTCTCGCGATCAGAGGGAGACGTGCGCCTTCTCCTCCTTGCGTGGCGACGTAGAACGCCGCCATCTTGGGCAGGCGGATCACGTGACTCTCAACCGTCGTCTCCTCGACCTCCTCTTTGCCCCTCCCAACGGGCAGAAAGAAAAAAAAACACGGGCCTAGATCAGCTCTCGAGCCTGAGGCAACAACCATGGAACTACTCCACCTGCGGGGGAACGAAGCGATGATAGGATCCGACGCGAGGCCTTGCCGTGATGAGGCGCTGGAGAATATGCTGGCCTCCATCTTTTTTTTTTCTCGCCTCCTTTTCCCCTCCCCCTCCCTTTCTGCAGGAACATCGCGACCAGGCTGGGCGCGCCACGTGACACAGCCGGCGGGACCACCTGACCAGTCGTGGGGGAGTGCGGAGCACACTAGGAGCGGCCCAGCGACGCGCGTGCGCACTCCGGCTCGCGTCCCCGCCTTGCGCTTGGGGAAAGCCCGCGACGGTCACGTGGGCTTCGTTCGCCCGGCAACAGGAGGGAAGCGCGACCCCCCCGCGGGCATCACGTGGGACGACGTCAACGTCGCTGCGGCTGCCGCCGGCGCCGAACCCCCGCGCGCAGGCGCGCCTCCTCCCTCCCCCTTTTCCGCCCCCCCCCCGCGCGCGGGAGGGAGGGAGGCAGCGGGCGGAGGGCGAAGTTTCCCGGGGCTGCGGAGGAGCCACCCCGCGTGCG